CCCCCCCCCCCCCCCCCCCCCCCCGAACAGCCAGGGGTCTCTTGCAACTTCAATCTTCCATCTGCAAAATGGCCAGGGATTGCAAAGCCCATAAACCCTCTGCAAGATCCAAGCTGCAGAGTTCAGCTGACTGGCCTGGGGGCTGCTGCCACTGCTTCCCCTTCCCCCATGAAGACCCCCCCCACCCCAGCTGGCCTGGAGCATGGGAGGGGTCCTGGCTGCCAAACAAGAATGACATCCTTAGCAGTAGCCATGGAAACCAGGTTCTCCCCCCCCCCTGCTACTTTTTCCTATCCAGCTTGGAAAGGAACCAGAATCAGCTGCCAGCCCTCCTTTGGGGGCTTCCCTGCAGGCAGGCAGGCTGGTGGGGGAGGGGGGGGACACAGGGAGGGTCTTGGCTGCCTGGAGAGGACACGGTCCTTGACCCCAAAGAGCTACCCAAGTTAGTGTAATCAAGCGAGGGCTGAAACAGATGTTGAACCCTCTGCTGATGACCCCCCCCCCATGAAAAAAAATCCAAAAGCAAAGCCTTACTGTTTTGGGCTCTCCCCACTTGAGAGATGCTGACCCAAAAGGAATCCTCCTCTGGACTGGAGGAAAGAGAACATTTGAGAAAAAAAATGCATTTGGACATTTTCCCCTCTGCTGCGCAGGTTCTTCCAGAGCACCTGAGTTAGCCCGGGCCAGGGGTAGGCAACCTTGGCTCTTTTTTGACTCGTGGACTCAGGAATTCTGGGAGTTGAAGTCCACTGAGTCATAAAAGAGCCAAGGTTGCCTACCCCTGGCCCGGGCTCTTTGAGGGAAGCCATCACACCTCAAGATTGCCTCTCTCTCTGCTGATGCCCAGGGAGCCTGTCAAAGCTCCCAGCTGCCCCAATCCTATCCCATTATCCACGATTTATTCCTCCTTGTTCTCATTCAGAGTCCAAATCCTTCCACTCTGGGGCAGTTCTTTTTTTTCTTTTTCTTTTTTTTAAACAAGCACATTTTTGGTAACTGTCCAGCAGGGCTGGGCTGGCTGTTTTCTGGCTGTCGGCATGGGGCTGGGGGTGGCCCCACATGGAATGTATTTAGAGTTGTGCCTGAGATACAGGAAAGGGTGAGCTCTTTCTCTGTCTGTGTGTTTGTGTGCACCCACACGCACTTTTCTTCCTTTGCCATCTCTAATCCCTGTTTCTGTGCCAGCCAGACAGTTCCTGGTGTTGGTGTTTTGTTTTGTTTTTTCTTTTGCTGGGTTCCCTTTTTGAAAAGGACCCAGATAAACGGGGAAAAGGGGGTGAGCCCCAACCACCTCGGGTGTTGTTTCGAAAAGAAAAATGAAACAAAAGGGGCAGGGGGGGGGATTGTGACAAAATGTGCACAGCAGGGCTGTTTGAAAAATAAAAATGGAGTTTGCAAACCTAAGACTCGCTCCCTGCCCCAAGGACAGGGGGAAATTGGGCCACTTTAAGCAATCTTCCTTGGAGGGCAGGGGTGTGTGTGTGCTCAAGGTTTCCTTTGACTTGGGGGGGCATGGAAGAGGGCGTTCAGCTAGGACCTTTACAGAAATGGGGGTCTTCTCCAGGGGGGTTAGAAAGGGGTGGTAAGCAGGGGTGGAGTGGGGGGAGAAGAGCCCTCCGGAGCGTGCCAGGTCTTCTCTCCAGAGTTCTCTTTGCCGCTTTCCGGCATGCCCTTCATGCCCTCCCTTAAGAAGCAGCTTTCTCCTGTGCCAGGTGGCTGCAGGGCCGGCTTTCCTTCAACCCGGGTGGGAAGAGGAAACCTTGCCCTTTCCAAAGCATTCACACATTCACAGCCTTTCCCCCTTCAGCAGCAAAGGGAACATGTTTTGTGGACTGCTGGAATTCTAGGAGTTGGAAGTCCACACATCTCAAAGTTGCCAGGTTGAGGAACGCCGGACCGTACGGTGCTGCAGCCAGGACTTTTGGTGGCCCCAAAGGCCCAAAGCCCCCACGGTAAAAAAGCAAAACAAGAAACAAAGCCCCCTCGCTTCAAAAAGTAGCCCCGGAGAATCGGAAAGCAAATGACGTCTGAAAATCAGAACGATGGGTGAGAAGAACCTTCAGCAGATGGTGTCTTCTAAGCTGAAACAGCTTCCAAGAAAGTCCCGTCTTGTCCTGCTTGCAGAAGACGGTTCGTGTGGGAGAAAGTCAAACTCCCAGGTACGGTAGCTCCACAGCACAGGGGTCTTCATGGAGAGGCCCCTCTTCGAGACTTCAGAGCATCTCCCACAACCTCTGGGATGTCCATATTGGCCAGTGGGTTCTCCAGGAGAAGATAGTCCTGGAGGGACCACACCATGTAAGACTTTCGGGGTCCAAGGGAGCCCTTTAAGTTAAACCCAGGAGCCTAATTTATAATCAAGTGTTATTAACTTGAGGTTCCATTAGCCTAAGCAACTCCATCTCTGCCCTCAACTTTCTCCAGTCCATCCTTACAAAGGATTTTGGTCGCCTCTGCCAGAAACCCGCCTTCGAAAGCTGAGAACATGGGAAAAACACTGGAGATTAATCCATCAATATTTGCTGTTCTGAACAAGCTGTTAGCATTTCTCCAGTACTTACTGTAACCTTTATTATATATTTCTTTTTTTGGCGTGAGCTTGTTTTCTTGCTGGTTCTGCTGCTTGCTGGAACCCAGCCCTGGACTCCAGATCTTGTGGTTTGTGTATCCAGGGCTTAGAGAAGACTTTCTTAAGCTGGTAAAGAATTCCACGTTGGTACATTAGGAACAAATGCACAGGAGGTGGTTAGGAATGATTTTTGTTTGCAGAAAATGACTACGCTGCGCAAATTCACTTGTGCTCTAGAGGAGGATGAGAAGTCACCTGTTTTCCAGCCTCAGAATATCAGTTAGAAGGGACCTTGGAGGTCTTCTAGTCCAATCCCTTACTCAAGCAGGAGACCCTAGACCATTCCAGACGATTAGCTGTCCAGTCTCTTCTTAAAAACCTCCAGTGATGGAGCACTGAGAGATATTTTTTCCCATATTTAGTTCCCTGGTGGTGGATTGTTAGGTGGTTAATGCACTTGGCTGTGGGCCTGCCACCTTTAATAAATATTGCACACTGTTTGAAGCGTTTGAAGCATCTGAGCTGTCTTCTTGACAGAGTCAGCACCATCCCTACAGTCACTGGAAAAGCTGCTGGCAAAGAGGAGGACCAGGCTTTGACCCCCGAGAGGAACTGTTGGGGAGCTAAGATGTCTTGGCAAGGGGTTAAGCCTGCTTTTGCCTGATGCACGGTCAGATGTTGATGGGAAACCAACAAAATCAGATGATGCCCATCTTGGCAACCATTGAGGGGCCTGCGTTCCAAGTGCGTTGGCGGAACCGTTCAAGCAGCTGTGGAAGACAATTGTCTGTCTATTTTCAGAAGATGCAGAGGTCCAACCATTTGCAGTCAAGAACTAGAGCCAAAAAGGAAAAAAAAATTCTGGATCATAGCAGCAATTTTTTAATCTAAGAATAGTTTGGAGCTTCGGGATGATGTGATTCATGCTACCCTCGCATAAGCCAGCTGGGTCACTCCAGCCGCTAGAAGATCGGTTCAAGATGTGGTGACTTCCAGCCCCATAGCCAGCCACCCTCCTCTGCCCACAGCTGGTTGCCTGGTAGGCCCCAAAAGCCATTTTGGGGGAGTGGGAGGTGGGTGGGAACAGGGAAGAGATCCCAGAATTTAGCCCAAGCTTTTTGGATGAACCTGATCCCCAATATCTCTTAGACAAAGCATGTTTCACAGCAAGAAAAGTTGCAAAGAATTGTTTGCAGCAAAAAAAGTTGCAAAGTATTGTTTGCAGCAAGAAAAGATTTCACACACAGAGAATGGGGTGAGGTGCAGGGAGCAGAAGAGCAGCGGGCAACTCCACCATTTGAAAATGTGCAGACCTCAACTCCCAGAATTCCCCAGCCAGCCAGCCAGCCAGGGAGGGCGGGAAGAAACAGATTGCAGAGTGTGGCCCATTTATTCCACCACCTCTGCTAGATCAGCTAGGCAGAGTTTCTCAACCTTGGCAACTTGAAGCTGTGTGGACTTCAACTCCCAGAATTCCCCAGCCAGCTACAGCCAGCGAATTCTGGGAGCTGAAGCCCGCACAGCTTCAAGTTGCCATGGTTGAGAAACTCTGCTCTAATGACTGTTTAGGAGCCTAACCTGGGTTCAACGCAAAGGAAGAAGCTGCCACATTCTCTCGCTACACAACTTTTTAGCCTACTCTTTCCACCTTCACACTTCTGTGCTCTACCTTGGTCCTGCAGGGACCACGTTGCGTGTTCGCCCACCCGGCACCATATTGATCTGGTAGATCCAACCGCAAATCCGTTGGCACGTGCCAACCTCTTGCTGGCAAAAACAGCTTTGCCTCTTAGAAGGCTTGCTTGTCTTCCGCATGTGGGAATGAGACCTTGTGACTGGCAGCGAGTAAGAATGAGAAGCCACCCAGGACCGGTTGCGCCAGCTCCGCTCAGCTGCTGGCCAAACGGGCGACTCGCCCAATTGCAATTATTAACTTTCTGTTAATATGGGCCAATTCTCTCTCTGGCTCTTGTATTCCTCCTCCTGGGGGGTGGGGGGGGAAAGGCTACACAGGGGACGGAAAGGCCAATTTTCTTTTTAATCAACACTGAAGTTACAGACCCGGCTCGGGCTGGGATAGCATGAAACGGTATTTCACAGCCAACAGTGGGGGGGGACAATCAGCACTGGATGCCCCCCTCCCCCAATCCAGAAACACAACCAATTCAGGTGTTTCTGGACGGATCCAGAACCCGGCGGAGAGTCCAAAGGAAAATCCTAAAATGGTGCTTTTGGGGAAGGAGCGGGCAAGAAAGACGGTGGCGCTTTTGAAAAAGAGAACATCAGTCGCACAAGTGACATTTAGTTGAACAGCACAATTTCCGAAAGTGCAAATTATTTCGGCTCAGACTGAGGCGAAGACCCCCTTCCCTCTCCCCACAATCAAAGAGACATCGGGAGCCTTGTTCTTCCTCGTAGACATTTCGCTGTGACCTCGCAAGGCCTCTCCAAACATCAGATAAAGGCATTTGCTCCGGGGCAGGTGGGGGGGGGGGAAGCCGAGGATGTGGGATCTTTGGAAATGGTCGCAGCCCTACCCAGCTCAGCCCCGCTCTGCAGCCAGGAATCCAGCCTGCTCCTTGGGCTTCCTTAACCAGATTAAGAGCACCTTGTTAATATTTTCCTGGGGGTGTTTCTGAAAAGGAAGCATCAGATCTCCTCCGTGTCTTGCCAAACAGCCACTCGAAAAATGGGAAACCGTCACAAACACAGCAGGATTTTCTTTTCTTCTTTTCTCCTTCCTTCCAGGCTCTCTCAGGCCAGACTTGCAAAACTGGGGAGAGGATCCTGAAACCCGAAGAGGAAGCTGGACTCTCTGGCTTCGAATCTTCTTCAGCCTTTAGGTCCCAGATTTTTTCCGGGCGAGTTTTGCCCGCCGAGGCTTTAGGATGGTGTAGTTCATATACTTCGTCTGTTGGTCGGAGAGGAAAGGAATGTAGAAAGCCCGGAACAACTGGGAGGACCTAGAAGAAGACAAGAAGGTTTAAACATCGATGCCTGAGCGACCTTGGATGGGAGCCCTTAAGGCAGGGATCCCTTCCAGCTGGGGAATTCTGGGAGTTGAAGTCCACAAGTCTTGAAGGGGCCACGGTTGGAGAGCCCGGCCTTCAGGTGCCTCCAAGTGATATTCCAATGTGACAGGGAAGATGATGAAATAGCTGGAAAGAAATCACGGGAACCATATTTCGACGGAACTGAAATTTAATTCCGTCAGTGCTGCTTGCTTTGGCTCTGCCCCGTGACTCAGTCTACGGAGTCCCCACGTGCACCTCACCCGGGAAGGCCATCCCGTGTCCCACCACCCAAGTCTGGGGGTCCACTCTGGCCCAAAGAAGGGGAGATGGCTTTGGGGGGGGGTTTGCCCAGCACTTTGGTGGAAGCTGGCCAGGGGCTTGAGGTGCAAGAGGGCTTGGAAGCACTGGGGGAAGGAAAATTGAACGGGGGGGGGGGGCAGCTGGACCCCATGGGGAGCCCCAGGCTTTCCTGCTGCAGACTGGAGTGCCAGGCATCAGGGGGCCCAGACGGAGCTGCAAGCCGGGCACCGTAATTAGCCGATGGCTCTGAGTGTTCTCTAATTCAATTAAAGCAGCATTTATCCGAGCCAAGCGAGAGTTGCCTTTGTGGCTCTCGATGACGTCAGCCAGAGACTCGGCTGTCCCAGAAGCTCCCGGTTCAGCCAGCAGGAATCGAGCAGGCGGAGGGATCCACTCCCCCCCAGGAGGAGCTGAGCAGCCCTTGCCAGAAGGACAAAAGGCCACGCTGGGGAGTTGGAGGGAGCATTCACCCTTTCTGCATATTCCTCTGAGCCCTCCCTCCCTGCCTGCCTATTTCTCTCCTCTCTTCCTTTCTTTCCCTTCCTTCATCTCATTTTTCTTCCTTCTCTCATCTCTCTTCCTTCCTTCCTTTCCTTCCTTCCTTCCTTCCTGGCAGCAGGTGATCAATGCCATCGGCCCCTCTGAGGCAAGGACGGGTGAGGCAAAGACTGAGCTCTCTTGCTACGGGTTCCCCCCCTGGGGGGGGGATTCGACCAGCTGTTCCTGTCTTCCTCCCAAGTGACAGCCTTTAGCAACCTCCCTCCCGCTGCTCTCTCCCCCTGGGGGAATTCTCACCCTGCCTCTTCCCGTCTCCACCCCCTCATCCCGCAATTAGCCTTTCTTCGCTAAGAGAGAAGCCGTCCTCCAGCAGCTGTGCTTTTGCATCTCGTCTCCCAAGAGTGGGGAACCCAGACGCTTCGGGAAAGGCTGCTGCCCCCGCCCCCGTCAGGGTGGGAGCGGAGAGGAAGGGGCTGCCACTCCGAGCCACCCTCTCCTTCCTCTTTGACCCCCTCATTTTTTCCAGGACCCCCTTCACAGATGGCTGGCAGTTCCTCTATTTCCCTGAGCAAGGGGAAAAAGACAACTAAAGATGCGTGCAAGGTCATAGAATCACAGGGTTAGAAGGGACCTTGGAGGTCTTCCAGTCCACCCCCTAACCTGGATGAGAAGGGGTGGGGTGGGGTGAACTTCAGCCCCTTGAAACGTATTTGACAGGGGTGGGTGGGGGGAGGCTGAAGTGCTGATGACTCACAGCCTGGATCTCTTACTGGGAGACCAACCCTTCGTGGCTCAAAGGTGGCAGCTGCTCTGACATGACACCATCCAATCACCCGGGCTGGCATCCGAGGCGCTTCCCAAGGAGTTGTGGGGTCTCCCGCACCGCCAGCGTGCCTTGGCCGTGGCCTCTTACCTTAAACTATCCAGGAAAGGCTTGTAAGCGATTGTGATCCACTCCTCCTTGTTAGCCGCATACCTGGGCTCCCGGGGAGCCTCGTCGGGGCTGTCGAGATCCACCAGGTAGTGGCATTTGGAAAGGTCAAACTGTGGGAGGAAAGGGCATTGATGCTGTGAGGCTCTCTCTGCTTCAGGCAGGCTCCTGGGCGGCTCCTCTCGGCAAAACCGCCTGGGCAGCAGGAAGCAGGGTAGCTGGGCCCAGCCAGGCAAGAGGAACAGCTGCAAGACTGTTTTCTTGCAGACGTTTCCTGACCCAACTAGGTAACATCATCAGTGTTAGAAGGAATTTTTGAAGAGGGGAGGAGGAGGAGGAGGAGGAGGAGGAGGAAGAGGAGGAGGAGGAGGAGGAAGACGACATCTGTGGGGTCCTTGGTACTCTCTGAGCTTTGTTGTTTTCTTGCAGATGTTTCATTACCCAACTAGGTAACATCATCAGTTTTAGAAGTGAGAGGGGTTTGTGGAGAGGAAGAGGAAGAGGAGATTTGTGGGGTGCTTGGTGCTCCTGAGCTTAGTCATTTTCTTGCAGACATTTCATGACCCAACTAGGTAACATCATCAGTGCAAGAAACATCACCCAAAGAATGAATTAAGCTGAAGAAGCTTCTTGGATGAGAAGTGAAACGTTTTCAAACAAAAAAAACCCCAAGAAAGTCCAGTTACCTTTTGGAAAAAGCACCCTTGGGGTAGAAATAGCATCTTTCTAGCACTGATGATGTTGCCTAGTTGGGTAATGAAATGTCTGCGAGAAAACCACCAAGCTCAGAGAGCACCAAGGACCCCGCAGTTCAATCCTGAGCTACGAATAGTCTCTCCTGTTGACGCAGCTGGAAGGCTCTGGTGCAGCTGGGGAGACTTTCAGCAGCTGTTTTTCAGGAATCCCTGCAGAAAAGCAGCCCTGCTCCAGGGAGGGAGGAGGCTCAGGAAACGGCAGGGTTTTCTTTCTCCGTAACAGAAAAGGGTCAAGGTGAAAGGAAGAGGTTGCTTTTCTTTAAAGCAAAAGTGGAACTGGCTGCAGATTAGCCCCAGCTACACTTCTGCAACATAGTCCCCCAACCAACTTTGAGCAACAACTTCCCAATTTAAAAAGAACGTGAGTTGAGAGGTTAATAAGAAAACAAAGTTAGAGAAAAAAAACTGAAGGAGAGAGACTGAGCCACTTCTCGGGAACCGGTTCCCACAGCAGGCAGGAAGTCACATTCGGCGATCCAGGTTCACTGCAGTGCCCTAAACCTACAGAGAGGCCACTGGTCAGACTGAGCAACAGAACAGCAGAGTTGGAAGGGACCTTGGAGGTCTTCTAGTCCAACCCCCTGCTCATTAGGCAGGAAACCCTATACCATCTCAGACGGATGGCTATCCAATCTCTTCTTTAAAATTTCCAGTCTTAGAGCATTCACAACTTCTGGAAGCAAGTCGTTGGCCCCATTTTTGCAGAGGGGGGAGGGGGCAACGTGTGGCAAAAGACAGGCCTAGGTTAAAAGAAGGCGGTCCCACTTACGTATCTGGAAGGTTCCTCTTTGTTTCGATCATTCATGTCCGTGGGAATGAGGCGGGTGGCCCCCGGGCCCTTGGCAAACGGCTTGGGCAACTGGCCCCGGAATTCGGAGGCGATGAATTGAAGCTGCCAGCTGCGGGAAGAAGGGGGACAAGAGGCTTTTAAAGGGCGTTCCGGGGATTTTAGTGAGCAACGTGTCAAGGTTCCGACTGACCAACTCAACCAAGTAAACATCTACGAGGCTTTCCGAACTCTTAACGTAAAACTTTATTGAGTACATCGGCACGCACACAAGCAAAACCAGCTCTGGCAGAACCCCCCTCAATCCCACATAGTAAAAGCATAGAATTTCCCCCTCCTCCTTCTTGGTCAGGTCACGTTGCCCAATTAGGAGGAAAAATATTGCTATGAGAAAGTGTCTCTGGGTCTGGCCAGACACCTGGCGAACTGTCCTTGGTTCTCACCGTCTGCTTTCTTGATCTTTTGACGTCTGCATTCCAATCCCTTTCCTGCCCCCCCCCACAAGTTCACTGGCAAGCTGAGAAGCAATAACTGTCAGACCAGCAAAAATGTGCTTCGAACTTGATGCAAGCACCAGATGGAGGCAGACAGAGGTGTTGACGGGGAAGGACAGGCGGGCAACGAGGCTCTAAGAAGGCACCCCGGCAGCAAAGATGGGGATTCCTACGTAAACGGCCCATCCTGATCTCTCTGCTTTTGCTCTTTCTCAGAAATGAAAATTTTAATGTCGGCTTCTCCCTTTCCACCCGCCAATGTGTTTCTGATGGTTTTGAGCTTGCAATTTTTAAAATCGTAAAACCAGCCAGGGTTTTAATCCTGATGATCAGTAGACAAATTCTTTGAAGGAAGTAAATCGTGACTTATCCACGGGGAAAGGGATGGAGAAGGAAGGGAAAGTTCTCTGGGAGAACTGACAGGAGAAAGCCCCACTATCAGGAAGAAGCCTTGCCTGATGCCTCCACCTTTTTTTCCCAAAAAAAAGCACTGGGCAAAAAAGTCAAAATGGAGGCAATAATGGTGCCACTGAAACTCTGTCTGGTTTTATGAGGGATTGAGGCAAATCAGAGTTTTTTGAAAAAGGAGCAAAGTCCTGAAAAAGCAAGCCCATTCCCAGGAGATGGCTCGTCTCTCAGTGAGGCCAACCATTTGGTTGAAATGGTTTAGGGAGGGTCTCCTGCTTGAGCAGGGGGTTGAACTAGAAGACTTCCAAGGTCCCTTCCAACTCGGTTATTCTGTTATTTTGAAACCTTCTGTCTGCCCGGGCTTTATGGCCCAGGCCAGGTTTGCTTACTGCTGGCATGAGGGGTGCCCCTGTGCACCCCCAGACAGGAAACAGGCTCCATTTTGACCCAGGAACTTACTTCTCTGGGAGGACGAAGCTGCTGGGAAACCGGTACCACTCCTTCCCGACACAGACGTGGACCGGCCTGCCTTCGGGCACGGTGTGGATTGTGGGGTCTGTGGCAATTCTGTGGAACTCTGGATAAAGGTCCAGAGGCCCGTGGTAACCTGGGCAGCAAAAACAGCAAATGGGGGGGAAAAAAGAGGAGAAAAGTCAGCCAAAATTGGCAACCCTTTGAAAATTAGCCAGTGTCCCCCTCAAACATTTCTCCAACCAGATGTGTTCAGGCGGCAAGTCTCAGAATTCTCCAAAGGCTGAGGAGTCTGGCGAGATACTATCACAACATCTGGGGAAGAGCAGGCTGTGTGTCGTCACCCAGGTTTTTTCTCCTTTTAAGATGGGTGGACTTCAACTTCCAGAATTCACCAGCCAGAATTCTGAAGCCACTGCTCAAACTTGTGGGCTAGGGGATTCTGGGGAGTTGAAGTCCAGCAACTTCAGATGACCAAGGCTGCTTATCTATGATAAGACACCCCCCACCAAATTATGGACACAATGTAGCTTGGAAATTTTGGGGGACTCAGGTTCCTCCCTGCCCCCTAGAACCTATAGGGAGTCAAGACTTAGAAAGCCACATTAGACAAACTCCTAGTCAATCATCATTGCTGAACGATGGATCAATGCTTAACCCCCCTCCCCCGAAGCCTGATTGTAACCTGGTAGATCGCTGAAGGGGAGAAGGGTGGGGCACGGGGAAGGTGAGCCGATCCCTGCAGAAGATCTACTGGTTAAAGAACAGGGCTCTCTCCTTGTCTTGCCTAAACCAACCTCTGAATAAAGCCACCGAACGGGAGAAGGAGAGCAGGCCGAAGACCAGGACCGTGCCCAGCGCCAGCCAGTTGGAGGAGACGGTGTAATGCTCCAGGCGATACCGTTGGAAGATAAAGTGGTAGCATTTCTGGAGGAGGGGAGAGAAAACATGAGTGCCATTTGCGTTTGGAAAGGAGGAGGGTGAGCAACAGTACGAATGAAGATGTCCGAGGCCCATCGAAGCTCTACCAAGACAGCAGCAATGCAAGCAGTCCCTGACTTACAAAGTTACATCACTGGAAAAAAGGGATTTACGACCGTTTTCCAGATTACGACCGTTGTACCATCCCCACAGTCACGTGTTCAAAATTCAGACAACTGACAACTTGGCAACTGACTCATATTTATGATGGTTGCAGCATCCTGGGGTCACGTGATCCCCTTTTCCGACTTTATTCTGCTCCTGGCAGTTTCATAAAAGGGGGAGGGGCTGTCTCAGCCCTCCTGGTTTCAAAACTGAAGTCCACAAGTCTTAAAGTTGCCAGGTTAGGAGCCCCTTGCTCAAAAGTAAGGCCCCCCAGGAGAAACCCTCCATCCCTCCTCTCTTGCCCCTGCCCCGCATTGCTCCTGCCCCCAAAACGCACCTGGAGGGCTGAGAGCCCCACTGCTCCACAGAGACAAATTAGGGGGTAGATGGGATACAGAAACCTCTCCTCTTTGTGGGGCTGGCTGAAGAAAATCAGGATCCAGACGTACATGGGAGAAAGCGTCAGCCAGTACGGGCGGCCGAGGTTTTGGACTGGAAGAAGGGACAGACCGGAAGAGGATCAGTGGCAGAAAAAACAAGGAAGTAGGAGCTATTCTTCCTGGGACCAGGAATGCTGTCCAAACCAATATTTCTCAACCTCAGAGACTTCAAGAGGCGTGGCTGGGGATTTCTGGGAGTTTATTTATTTATTTATTTATTTATTGGATTTTTACCCCGCCCTTCTCCTTGCGGACTCAGGGCGGCTAACAGCCTGATAAAAACAAATACAAAAAATACCAAAATACTATCATTAAAACATAATTAAAAGGAAATATTAGGAGGACTTCCGGTGGCAGGCGACCTCGTTGGAAGCAGCTGTTTGCTGCCTCCCGCCTGTTTCAGCGTAAAAGCCGTTTTGACAGCTAGCATCAGCTGTAAAACGGCTTGATACCTTTCCCCTGGGCATAAGGGGATAGGTGAGCTGCCCGGGGTAGGAGTTGAGTTCCCGAGTCGTCCCATGTGGACGATGTAGGTGAG